TCGCTTCCAAAGGAAGTTTTAACGATCACAAGAAAATCGTTTATAAAATTTTATCAACGTTAGACACTTACAATTTCGCAGTTAAATGGTCGAAGTGCAAATTCTTCCAAAAAGAAATCGAATGGCTCGGTTTTAAAATATCGAAATCCGGAATCGACCCACTATTCGATAAAACCAAAGCAATTAAAGATATTCCAATCCCAAAGAATCTAAAAGAACTAAGATCATTCTTTGGGTCAACTAATCAGTACATTAAATTTGTACCAAATTTAGCATCCCTCGGAAGCCCGCTTAGACCTCTTTTAAACAAGAAGTCAATTTTCCTTTGGAATGAAGATCACTCAAAAGCTTTTGTCAAGATAAAATCAGAAATAGTAAATCTTACTGAAAACACTCATTTCGACGTAAAAAAGCCCACGAGAGTAAAAACAGATGCTTCACATAATGGGTTGGGTGCATCTCTTGAACAACTTCATGAGAAGGTTTGGAAAACAGTGTCATTTGCTTCAAGATTTTCAAATCCCCATGAATCCAAATATTCAACAAACGAATTAGAGCTATTAGGAGTCGTATGGGCGGTCGAACATTTCAAAAATTATCTCTACGGCTCTGAATTTGAAATTATCACCGACCACAAAGCTCTCCTTTCCGCTTTGTCACCAAATCACGGAAACAAAACATACCAAAGCCGATTGACAAGTTTGGTAGATCGTCTCCTACCATTCAATTTTACTATCAAACATTTAGCGGAAAAAGATATGGGTTTTACAGACTTAATTTCAAGAACTCCTTCGGGTAAAGCAATTCCCTCATCACATTACGACGAAGAATTTGTAGTTGCTACTACCAAAAAAATATATAATGCACTCAATCCTTTGGATAATGAAAATCCATTACGTAATTCAATTAATTCGATTTCGGAAAATTCCCATTACACGAAATTACGAAATCACGTAATAATTACAGCATTGAATTTCGTCAACTCTTCCATTTCAATCTGCAATCAAAAACACTATAGAACAGAACTTTGTAACTCTAAATGTATTCCTTCGGATTTCTCAAACACTGATTTTACTAAAATTTCTCTATCAAATTCAGCCTTTATCTATTTTTTAATTCTTAACAGTAGCCTAATTAGTAATCCTTCGGATCTCAAACTTATAAATAGTGTAAATATGTCAAATAACCAAATTGTAGTACATCCTTCCACTTCTGGGATACAGGTCTCTATCGATTTTCAAATTTCCTCAGAACACAAGAAGTTAGTAACTAAATTCCGAGAAAACCTCAAGTTACCTGAAAGACCTTTGGATTTAAATACATTATTCAATGCAAAATTGGTCGCTTTATTAACGGAAGATGATGAATTGTTAAACCCAATTGTGAAAGCTTTACAGAAAAAAGTAGATAACATCAACTCAAATTCCCGTTACTTACACCAATTTTCGAAAGACCTTCATGAATTCGACGGACTATTATATATGGATGGAAAATTGGTTATTCCGTTTACACTTAGAAACGCCGTTTTAAAAACCTTACATGAATCTCACCCTGGCCAATTTGGCATGAAATACTTGGCACAATACATTTGGTGGCCACACATATATCGACAAATTTACTTCCACGGGATTAATTGCACACAATGCACTCAAACCGGTAAGAACATAAAAAGCATCATACCAACTACACAAATTAGCGAACTTCCAACCTTATCCGAACCTAATGAGGAAATAAATCTTGATTTTGCCGGCCCACTAGATAACAACTGGGGAAACAATAAATACATCTTATTGTGTATAGACCGTTTTTCAAAATTCCCTTCAGCAAAAATTACATCTTCAACGTCATCAAACACAGTAATCGAATTTCTTCAAGATTATTTCTATCTCCATGGGATTCCAAAATCTATTCGGGTCGACCACGCATCCTGCTTTACTAGTCAGGATTTTAAATTATTTTGCAATTCTCTTAATATCAAACTAATATTTTGTACAGTTGGAGACCATCGTTCTAACGGTCTTGTAGAAAAACTTGTTCATACTGTAAAAAGAAAAATTATTAGCAATGTCATTGGATCAACAAAAACCTACATTACAAACCGCCATTTCGAAAATCATTTGGAATCTACGATCTTCCTTCCAATCTAAAATTAAATGCTCACCGTTCGAAATACACTTTAATAGAAAACCGAACACGATCTGGAAGCAATTGGCATCTAATAATTTATCCGGTGGATTTTTAGACAAAGGGAAGTCGATCGTAAGCAGAGAAAAGGCCCTCGACTGGAACGCTGACGATCGGATAGAGGACGGATACAAAGACTCCCTCATACCGAAAAAGAACCAGTCACCATTGGAGAAAGGCTACGATTCAGACCTTCCTACTACTTCAAAACCTCCATCATCCCGAGTGCCCTTAAATAGTCCGTTTAAAGGTAAATTACTACGGAAAACTAACGGAAGTAAAAACGGAAACCCCTTCTATAAACAACTAGGCCAGAAAATAATAAACTCAACAAAATCCACGGTTGAATTATCCGACGGAAAAATTATTAGAAAGTCGGACATCGCCATTCCAAAGTCTAAATCCTCTACAATTCGTTCATTCAAAGGAAATATCTCCTTTCCTTTTTTCTCTAACGGTGATTTACAAGTAGGTCCAAGAAAGTCTTACAAACCGAAGACACAACAGACGCGGAAACCAGACACTAAGACAGGAAGACACACAGAGTCGTTCACCCCGGTCACCACCAGATCTAGAGGAACGAACCAGCCTTCAAAATCCAACAAATCGAAGAAGAACCGAAATAAAGCCTCGACGTCAAATACTGGATATTTAGCAGGTGACGAATCCATGTTCATTCCGTCGGATACGTCGGACATTAGCGATTGGGAATGGATTGCGGGAGGTTTTCCATGTAGAGAAATGATAAGAAAACGCTTCATTTCAGATAACGTCAATTTTAACAAAGAACCTACCTCATCTTTAGACCCTAAAACATATCAAACTAATATAAAACCTGAGATTTTAGACGATCAACCTGAACTCTCAGACACAGCGGAATGCCCAATTAGTATAAAACCAGCACCTCAAACTACCTCACACCCACCTGACGAACCTTCTACGGCTACGACAACGGAGACCCCAAACATTCCTTCGGATTTGACAAAACCATTGGTAGGAGAAAAACCGGTCGATTTCCCAGTTTTCGAGATAGAGGACTCCTCCGATGAAATTGGAACCAGCGAGGAAAGACATCCTAAGGAAACTACTACAACCGGTAACGAACTTATTTTACGACGTTCAAGTCGAAATGTTGGCCCCCCACAATTCTATGGTAAGCGATATTACATAGATATTATAGATGAGTTAGAAAACCAACCAGGCTCCGCTACTAACCCTATATCTCTGGACGAGGATGACAACTCGAGCACCCCCCCCCCCCCCCACACACAAACATTCAGAGAGAATCCCTTGGATAATCAGACAAACACATTACCGGAAGACAGTACACCGGATCTAGCATACACCCAATCTCCCGATCAATTCTCCATCGCCTCTACCGACGATTCTCTGAGAGATGCCGTGAACTGCTTTGAAAATTACATCGACTTAGATAGTGAAATTTTCAACGCCGAGCTAGAAAAATTCATGGAAGGGGACAGCTAAACTCAATCAAACTTTAAAACTCGCATTTAGCCATTTAATTTGTAGTACTATTTCGTTTAAGTGCAATTAGAGCTTACCTAGCTGTATCTACGGATTACAATCCGCCGGATTTAGGAATTTTATTATCCTGTCTAATCCAGTAATTCCTTCGGAGCACTAAAATTACATTTTGTTTCACCGTGCAGTATTTAAATTTTCATTTTGTCGGACTTCTCGAGAGGGAGAAAAAGGGTTAGATAACATGTTAGGTATCATGGCGCTTAGTACTTTAATTTTTTGCCCACTAAGGGGAATGTTGTGATTCTTACCATTTGTTTTATTTCACTAATTACTTTAAAGTATCTTAACTGGTTAATCTTGATTGACCTTGTTATCTTCATTCTCTCCGACGGAGAGAATGACCGTTCACTTTTTTAATGTTTTAACTTAGAGATTAATTCACTTTTTAAACATATCATATTTGTAACTAAGTAGAATTAACCGTAACAAAGGAACATTTTATCAAATTTCAACAAAAAATCTATAGAAAACACTAAGAAGCTCAAAACGTATTCTTACTGGAGTAAAACTAAAAATTTTAGGCTTTAGATAAAATGCTTAGACTGTTATTAGCCTATTATATATCAGGCCTACTTGCTCGTTTTACTCGCCGGAAACCGACACCGGTATGATTTTTTAAAGTTTTTGTACTATCATTCAAATCACTAGTAAAAAAAGCTTTAACAGGATATTCCGATGATTTGATTGTAGTACCTGATTTTACGGCGAAAATAAAAACTAAAACTAAAACACACCCGAAGACAAAGTTCAGAGAAAGTGGAACCAGTTCAAAGCAAGTTTTTATTTTATCTTATTATATTCTTGATAAACTATTTCTCTAAAATACTTAGAACTAACCAATCATGATCCATAACTAACACTTACAATAATTTGTAAGGCTGTAACTATAAATAGTTTCAGCCAGAACAGAATAATTTTATCTTAGCAAACAGTTGCTCTTCTTCAGAACAGTTCCTGATATCTAGCCTCGCAATGAGGCTAGGAGATAAAAGAGTAAAATTAAGATTGGTATTAGACTAAGAAGTTGCACGAATCTATTGGGCCGAAAATAAGATGACGAACCGACGGTGTACTTTTTCTGAAGTTACTCTATGAGTGAGCCACCCCGGACATAAACTCAAAAGTCAATTTTGCAACCTCCCCCACCCAAACCTTCCACCCAAAAAATCCTCCACCGCTATGTTTCAAACTTTTTCAAATTGATACTTAAGGCAATTACACTTTTTTTGCGACACAATGATTTTCATCTAAACTTTGTGAGTAACTCTTACCTATGTTCATAGCAGTCTCCAGTTTGTCCCCTGTGAGCACCCATAGTTTAATGTGTGCCTGATGTATGGCTTCTATGGTTTCTGCCACGTGGTCCTGCAATTTATCCTCAATCGCAGTGGCCCCCAACAACACCATCCCTCCTTCCAACTCTTCTTCCAACTCCTCTATTGCATCGTCGTTGTATGGTGACTTGCTGAAAGTAATCGAGCGCAAAGGTGAATTCTTTGTTCAAAGCTACTGTCCAGGTCTTTTAATAAGAGGTTAAACGCAAGAATATATTTTCGTTCAATACGGAATTTTATGTGCCGTTTTTCACTCTCCCGACATTTATTCAACCTTTATAATAGAAAAAAAAACAAATAATTATAACTATTTTTAGGTTCACAAAAATTGACTAACTCCTAAAATAATAACGACCCCAATGAGCTCTTTAACGAGGCACAGTTGCTTTGTTTAACCTTTGATTAAATACAGTTTAAATCCATCGATTTGAATGTCTCTATTAATTCCTAGTTTGTTCGAATGCTTACTTGGCCCTGTCGTATCTCTTTAGCCAGTCCTCCAGGAACTTGTGCTCAATGGGTTTCTTAGCAACCACCAGAGTACGCAGACCCTCACTCGCAAACATCTGAAACAACGCCACCTTCACTTAAACTCAGCCACAGCTTAGAATTTCTTCAAAATCTTAAATCCTTCAAAATCTTAGATCCACTAGTGATGCTTAACAGTTCCTTCCAGATGCCTTTTTCAATATTTAGCTATGAATAAATTTGGTTTCCCGGCTGTTGCGATTACTCCATTTTGCTTGATGCTTGAAAGTGGTGGCTTCAATTTGAAAAAATGACGGCTGTAGATTATACGAGTTACTTATGTCGGCTTCTCACCTCCAGATGTTTGTCTGTGAGGTCCTTGAGGAACTGTTGTCCAGGGGCTAGTCTGTCGAAGATGAGGTTGTCCGCTCCTTTGCAGTACAGTGTGATTGCTTTATTCTTCTGCTCCTTCTCTACATCCTCATCTGGTTTGAAGGGACCACGCACAACTACCTGAATAAAAGTTTCCATCTTTTGAATCAGTAGAAGTTAATAGACCAGAGCGACATTTAGAACCGTGATTTTCAAAATTAGTGGCTGACAAATATGATTTACTTCTTGTGTCAAACCATGCAAATCATTACGAGGCGAAACTCTGCAGTGGACAGGCGCTTATTTTTGTGTCTGTTTGTTCCTGGATTTCCAGAGACAAATTTTTAAACATGTCGATAAAGAGAATGCACCTTCGTTTTTAAATTAAATGTGAGAAAACTAAAAGAATTTTCAAAAAAATTATCACTTCATTTACTTGAAATTTGATCTGGCCCTTTTGAAATTTAACTGCTTTGCAAAATTACTCACAGTCCAAAAAACGCTGGAGTTACACTTAATTTCTAATGAATCGAAGATTGATTCGGAATGAAAACATAGAAACCACTATTGGTTGAACAGGGGAGTAATAGTTGAATCAATGACGAAAGCACTGAAAGTGTGTTCTAATTTTAAAGCATGATGACATCCACACACCGACATCCTCTTCCGGTCGTTGTTGAAGTCCACAAAAGCCAGCAGTTGGTAGAACTCCACTTCGTCCTTCACACACACTTCCATCTCTTCGGGAGTGCGGGCGGTGAAGGTGAACCCAAATGCCCTGGCAGCAGTCAGCAGGGCTGCCTCATCCGGACTCTGTGCCTGGTACTTGAGGGATCCAGGGATGATCTTCTGGTCTGAATCTGTGTCTGCTTCCGGTAGCACTGTGTGGCATAGGGCTGAAACAAATGCAGAAATTGCCGTGATTTTCAAATAAACGCATTGATTATTTTATTTTAAAATGTATGATTTGAACTAACCTCATCTATAAATAGATGTTTTGCTCAAAACTTTTTGAGAATGCCCATAAAAAGTCAACGGTCAATTTTGAACTATGAAATATTAAAATATTTTATCAAGTGCAATTCCAAATTGGATGAAACACTAATTCTTCAACTGTCAATAAATATCTGATTGACCTTGACATTATCTCAATGTTGTTGCATGTTGCATACCTAGTGAAGTGAAGAACTCCTTGACTACTTCGTCTTCTGACTCAATTTTACTAGCCAGAGATCTGTCTCTCCATCTGAACAAAATTATAATTCAAACATTTTGTTTATAAAATTTCAAAACAGTTGTATGAAAAAACACAAATATGAGAGTTAATCGGTTTAGTTTTGTCCACGTGATTTGAGGGGGATATTTATACATACCTGAAGTCGGTGTCCTCGCTCTTCTGCTGGAATCTGTGTTCTGGCAGACATAAACTGCTCAGCTGTGATTGGTTAGTACTCGTGCCCACTGAACTGGTCAGTCGAGACTCATCGTCTATGTACTCTACCTAGAACGACGTGGTCAATAAGGAAAATGCAAAAATAGGCTGTGAAAACTTTAACCAGGAAAGCAAATTTTCAACTCAAAAGATAGCCGACAGACAGTTGGAATAAAGTAACTGAATGCAAGTAAGCAATTGTAAATACTGACTTACTTTTAGAAAAAATCTCAACTTTTGAATTTCAAAGAAAAAAGAGATGGAAATAAAGCTCTTTGAATTCCTAAAATAATTTATGGTTGACACTTTTTTGATTAGTTAACCCAATTTGAGAATACTAGATTAATAGGTAAAATTTCTATTTCGCTGGGAAACCTGATAACCAAATAACACTTTCATTTTTATGGTGCAATTTTTTCCCGAAATTCTTAACCAAAATTTTACCACAAAATTGGGTCACTACAAAACTTTTACCACATAACTCCACTATCGAACAGCAAAAAGTGAAGGTCACAAAAAACGTGATCAATTTCTATAGTACTGAGTTAAATTAACCGGACAAAACGAACAACATTTGAGATTTCAAACGCAATTTTCTAAGAATGTTAAGATAGGGCAAAAATTGAAACGGAAAAAAATTGCGGAGAATTTCACCAGTATTAGTAGCGTACAAATTTTCCCCTACATTTTTAAGATAGTGGAGTTGGCTACAAAAAGATGAAAATAGAGTTTTGAGCGCAATTGTTAAGTGGACCTTAGTGAACTCCGTGTCTGACTGTTGAAGGTGTGGACTCTGTCCGAAGACACTGCCACCCACAGAACACATCTTGAACACCATCTTGTTCTGGGTCAGAGTGCCCGTCTTGTCAGAGAACACATACTTCACCTAGACAACAGAATACAAACACGACCTAAACACAATCTCCCTGGCTCAAAACGTGGGGAGAAAGTTACCAATTACAGTATAACGACACTTAACACGTTCCGCAAAAGTCATAATTATGAACTGTATGAATCGATGTTCCGTTGAATTCTTTCTAGATGCCAATGCTTTTAGTTAAATTCTTGAAGTAATGATATATGGTGTAAAGCTCCTTTCGATTCCAGATTTTTTTCCAGATCCCCAAAAACATCGAGAAGCTCAGAAAATCAGCCGAATGCAAACACATTTGATAATTACAGTCGCAATTTAGTCCGCAGTTTGCAGCTAATTCTAACCAAAACATGAAAAAAATTGACCGACCCGGGTTTTAAATTAATGACTTGAAAGCATGCAGTATTTCTTCATTTTAAAGTTGACATGTACCTGTCCTAGCTCCTCGTTGAGTGTGGTGGTGCGTGCCTTGGCCTTCCTGGGTCCCCCAGAGGAGGCGGTGGATCCTGCCTCGTAGTACCACATCTTCTGGTCCCAGTCTATGAACAGACTCAGACCCAGTCTGATAACCTCCACTCTAGAACATTGGAATTGAAAAAGACTAATCATCTAGACAATGTCAAAATTAAGGGTTCGTTCGAGATAAAATTGGCAGGAGTAAAAGAAACCAAGCGAGCCGTTATCTATATTTGTCACAGAGCTGAAGACAATCACATTATCTTACAAAAACTATTGAAATTAGTTCTTGAGAAATGGTGAAATTTTTTTTTAATCGGAAAAAGATGTTTTTAATAAGATTAAATTGTTTTAGTTAAGTAGTTTTTAGATTGAAACTTCTAGTTTACAGTCAAAGCAAACCAAAAGTCTTAAGAATTCAAAAAAGAAAACTTTCAGCATGACTCAAATTTAGACATCCAAGACGCTCAAACTTACGTAACATATAAAAAATAGTAACGACAGTTGCACGCTTAGTTGATCCCGAAAAACAATTTCAAACACTTCATCTCCTAATAAAATGTTAATGCAATCTTACAACAACCCCTAATGATTCCATAGAACATTGATACTCACGTTACATAAAGTGAGATAGGCACGACAGTATTGAGGAGTATGACGTAAGCTATGAATGAGAGTCCCATGTAAGCAGCCGGGTGTACATTGTAGACTCTGTCCATGATCACCACTGGGGCTAAGTAGGCGCCACTACTCTGACCCACATTCTGCTCCCACAGGGCGGCACACCCACTCGCTATCAGACAGAGCAGGAACAGGAAGGCGAAGATCTGCAAATCATACAAACAACAGTAATTATAATAATCATAATAATCATCATAAAAATTATAATATTTATATAATCCCTGGCAGGGGGGACAGGGGGCGGACGTGCCCCCTTAGGGATTCGACCACCTGCCGACTCAAAGGATCCCTTTGTACTATTGTGAGAAAACCCTTTTTTTGGCTGACTGACCCTAAGATTTGTCAAAAGGAGCCTGTTGCGCCAATATAGACTAATTTTGAGGGATCGTGCGCCGAAAACACGAATTTTTTTGGTCAAAACTTTCCAAAATGTGCCAAACAACGCTTTTTCTGGCCAGTTTTTTTGAATGATTTGCCTGCGGCGCAAAACATCTGGTCGAAATATGGTTTTTATAGTGATTTCAGAGAGCTCAGAAAATCAATTTGGTCAACCGGCCTATAAAAAAGGGTGAATTTTGAACACCAAGAAATTTCAGTTTCAAGGAAAATTAAACAGAATTTTTTTAAAATCAAAATCACTCAGATTTGTATCAGAACAGTATCAAACATTTACCGGACAAATTTTGTTGTAAAATAAAGCCAACAGACAGTTGAAAAAAAATCATGAACGCCTGTAAACAAAAAATAAATACTGACTTGTTTTTTTGAAAAGTTCTAAGCTTTTGAATTTCTCACAAAAAATAAAATGCCCTAAAGCTTTTTGATTTTCTAGAGAAAATAATGGTTGACATTATTTTGATAAATTTAACCAAATTTGAAAAACTGGATTAATAGGTGAATTTTATTTCGCTGGTGAATCTGATAATTAAAATCCAATTTCAAAACTGGAAATTTTTGGCGACCTCTATACTTGCGCTGTTCGATTGTGGAGTTTGCTTTCCCTTTAACAAAAAAAATACACCAAATATAACAAAAAACTAAAAGTCAAACCGCGAAAAAGCCTCAACAAATTTTAAGAATTAACCATAAAAAAATCATCACGACCTAACGACCTATACAGTGCTAATTAAAATTATCCGGAAAAAAAAATCAAAACTTGAAACTTCAAACGCGTTTTTCTCAATTTGGGTTGGAGCTAGACAAAAAATATGAGAACCAAAATTGCTTAGAGTTTTACCAGAATTATTATTGTGCAATTTTGTTTCGCATTTCGGGGCCAAAATTTTACCCCAGAAATGGGTCATTTTGGCTTCTTTTAGTCAATCAAAACTTGAGTCGCGATATCTAATGAGTCAATTGATGAGCAAACTTTATCAAAGTGAGGCTCTTATACAACCGAACAACGTTTTAGAGAGGTATAACTTACACATTTTGCGAAATGTTCAAAATTTAATTTCAAGCAAAGAATTGGAATTATATATTTTAAAAAATGCATTTTTTGGCTATCAATTAAAAATTTTTCCATCGTAAATATTTTTGAAGGTTGTACTCTAAAATTTTGTTGGACAGTATAACACTGGCTCACTTTGATATATTTTGCTCATCAATTCAATTACTAGAATTAGCGTATTTTTTGATTGACTAAACGAAACCAAAATGACCCATTTTTAGGGTAAAATTTTGGCCCCAAATAAATTTGATAAAGTTCTAAGCAATTTTGGTTGACATTATTTTTTTGTCTCATCATTTTCAATTTGAGGGAAACGCGTTTGGAAATTCAAATTTTGTTCACCATGTCCAGATATTTTAAATCAGCATCGTATAAGAGTCTGAACTAAATTGTGTTAAAAACCATTTGATAAAAATAACTTCCAAATGCTGTATGAGGTCGTGAATTTATGATACTACTCGTACCGTTAGAACTAGAATATTGAGTAGTTTGTCCAGATGTGTCCTCTTGAAGGCCACTTTGCCAGAGTTCTGCACCAGTTTGGTCTCCTTACCCGAGAACACCACCACCCCACACACCCACGGGGTGTTCCTCATTCGACAACCACGCAGAAGGATGTTATTGTTAGTTAGTTGCAACACCTATCAACAAATTGAAACTCTTTTTCCTCCCCCCCCCCCCCCCCCACCAGCAATATTTAAATTTTACCGGTAACAATTTTGTTCATATTGTTCGATTTTCGATTGTTATAAAATTTGACATAGGGACTAATTATAATTAGGCCATGAAAAACATATCTGTTTTCATACATCATACCTAACCTTGTAAAGCCCCTCATTACACCGTAAAAATGATGCTTATGTGAGGTACGGGGGAAAAGAAAATTGTTGGCAATACCATTAACCTCGAGCTTGTTAATCGGTCAAACAATTATGCTTTAATTTTTGACACAGTGTTTATGTGGTGAATTTGTAGAAAAGTTGGTTTCTGTCGTCAAATTTACCAGTTTTAGGTTAACTAACTTCGTTCAGATTGGTTAGTAGAAAAAATTATATAGCCAAAGATTTGACATTATTAGACAGGTTTAATAAATTCTTGCTCCAAAGGCAACTTCTTAGCAATTTTTCCGTGTCCAAACCCAAACATCATTTAAAGATAACAATTATGCAACTTTCCCACTTCAACCTGATGGAACTACATTGCCAATTCGTGAAAGATTAAGTACCTTGTTGACCACTTCCAGGTTTAAATAGAATCCTAAGAAGAATCTTTCAACTTACATCCGCATGGTCCCTGGATGGCAGTTGTAGATGCAGTTCACCCTGGAAGTCATTCAGGTTGTTGTTCGGCTTCTCACACACTATCTTTCCTAGTAGTTAAAAAACATTTTCTTTAGTAAAATAACTTTATGAGTAGAAGAAAAACTTCGGTGACAAAACTATTGAAATCAACTATTTAAAAGAAACTATCTTTTAAAAAATTTTAAAGTATTATTCTCGGGTAATTTACTTACATCGGTCACATAAAAAAATTGTTTTCCGGCTTATAATTGAAAAAATTTGTACATTTTAACACCCAGACTGAAGTCTGAGAGAAAGTCATTAGACCAAATGGACCGTTTTCAAACGTATTTAACGAGACGTCGTATTATACCAAATGTGATATAAAATGAAAAAAAAACTCATTCAACCCAGCAGGAATAAACCTCGATTTCAATATGTGTTGCCACCTTGTATTTTGTTGAGCATGTGAGTGTCGGTGACATGTTCGGTCTCCTTTAGTCCCTGTCTCATCTTCAGATTCGTCTCCCCGTCCAACTCGGCTGTCTCGATGAAACAGACTGCGTGGGGCTCACTCGAACTCAAGATCATCATGTCCGCCTAACACACACAAGCACACACACACATACAAGGATGTGACTGACCTGTACTATGTATCAAGTGTTTTTTGGTTATAAATTAGATAACATTTTCCCCATAAAAAAAGATTTAGGTAATAACAGGCACTACAAAGAATGTCAACGAGCTCAAAAAACCAAAAAAGTAAGTTTTTTTTTAAAAAAAGGTTTCAACTTTTGAGCTGAAAAATATGCTTCAACTTAAAGCTCCTTTAGTTTCAAGATTCTTTTATGATCGAAACTTCATTCATAACATTGAAAGTTTTTATTCCGCCGTGAAAAGTTTTAAAATAAATACATTTTTGAAATTGAAGTCCTTTACGGTTTTGACATCATTGCTTCGATCAATTGAAAAACGGAGGAACTTTGTATTCAGGAGAGTTTCAGTTTTTTTTTCTTTTTTTTTCATTTTTTTTAATTCCATGCAAAATCAGCTACTACCAATATTCATCAGAGATAGTATTGTATTAGCGCCTTTCCAGTTGTAATTCGAATGACATTGATAAATCTTGAAAAAAATTTCTAAGTGTCGAGAAAAACCGGTTTGAAATTTCTGATTTTCCTTTTTTCGAGCGAATAAATAAGTTTGCAATAGCTTAATGTAATGGTTTAAAAGCTTATAATAGCTTTGTTTAAGCCGTAAGAATTCAGATTTACCAGAAAAAGTTTAGTTTGCTTTGAGAAATTTAGCGCTTTTTCGGTATCAAAAACTTCGAAAAACTGCAAATAAAAGATTTAAAAAAATTGAATTTTTTTTGTTTTTGTTTTTCTAATCATTTTTTTTTTAAAAAGTGTTTTCCATTATGCCTATTTTAGTATAATGTCAAATATGCCTAAGCTCTAGTTTTTCGTAAAGATTCTTTTATCACACCCCGCGGGGAAAAAAGCCTAATTTGAAAAAATCTTATTGTTTTTTTGTAAGACTATGTTGGGAACATTCTGTGCTGTTTGCACAGTAACCGGCTATTCTTTTTTTTGAATTTTTGCTTATTTTGAGTTATTTTGCGATCTTTTTACCAAATGCATTTTAATTGCACATAGAAAGAAATTTAAAAGCAAATTCCAGAAAATCACATTTAAGCGTGAACTATAACAAAAGAGGAAAAATGTACACGACGCATATAAGTTATAAATTATAAGTTTATTTTATCTTTTTACCTCGAAAATTGAATTTTAAAAAAAAAATTCAATCTCTTTTTATTCTTTTGAGTTTGTTGACTTTTCCGAAGTGCTTGTTGGCTTTGTTTTCATTTTTACTCAAAATATCTTTTAAGTGCATTCGTTTTCATTTGATATAAACGCATTTATTTGGTTTATCGACAATAAATAAATTTTAAATGAGCGCTTCTTTATTAGGGGGCGTTCAACAGTGCCAAAGTACAGCAGTGCTAAAAAGTTATATATTTTTCAACACTTTTTACTGTATAGAATACCAAAAAAATTTTAGAAACAATTTTTAAACGTTTTGCGCACTGTTTTGGAGAATAGACGCTGCTTAAACATTCTTGGTCTCTGTTAAAGATTCATTTTACAACAATTATGTAAATGATTGAATTGGCAGTTTGGCATAGTTTTGAGTGACTAAGACAACCAAAATTGTTCTATTTTTGGGATGAAATTTCGGGCCTGAATTTTGCAAAAAAAATGCACTATATTAAATATGTTGAAGTTCTAAGCAAGTTTTGTCTCCATTTTTGTTTCACCTAAAAAACCCAAATTGAGAAAAATACGTTTTAGGTTTCAAGTTAAATGCGTTGTGTCCTTATAATTTAAATCAGCCCTGTACATGGAAACTTGAGATGGATGAAACGTCGAAGTTTTCTAAGAAGAGTCCTTAAATTGGTTTATGTTTGTTTTCTCCTACAGTTATCAAGAAAAAGTTTAAATTTATCAAAATAACAATAACAAAATAAGGTTTTTACAGAGTTTCGCGGGGCTTTAAAATTTACAAAATTATTTTCAATCACAAAAAAAAGTTTCACCAATATGCATCAGTAAATAAAAAAGATTATTTTACGGGGCTTCATAATTAAATCGATTTGGCTGAGCCAAAATTTGTGGTTTAGCTTCCGCTGTAAGCCATAGTAGCTTTGCTTATCGCCCAATATTTACGAGAAAAACCATTCAACATTCTATCTAACAACTTTTTCTGAATCCATTTTACTGAACCATTCAATTAACAAAAACATTTTAAACATAAAATTGTGTCCTCTTCAAAACTAAAAAATATCAACTAAAAGCAAAATGTCAGAGCAGAAACTGAACTTGTGTGATTTAATTTTTAACCAATTTTAACAACAAACAGGAAAATTTAACGTTATTATGATAAATTTATTGCGTCGTTTGAGATGATAACAAAATAAAATGCTAAAGAAGTTAAGAGCAAACAAAACAAAATAAAAAATAACGCTAACTGAAGCAATTAACAGATTGAAATTTAACATTGCAACATTTATTTTACAAAATTATTTACATAAGCCAAGTTTGAAGAGAGTTATTTCAGAAAGAGTATCGAGTTTTTTTGAGTTTGCTCTAGTTGTTCCTTTTCTATGACAATTGGGTTCAGGAAAGGGCGACCTCTCATTCTAAATGACAAGTCTAGCAAACCATCGGGCGAAATCCTTCCGCTGAAGTTAACGAACTCAAATGATTCCATTTCCATGTCGTCCATATTAGGAACCGAAAAGTCACAAATGTCTTGTTGCTTTTCGAAATCGCATTCATTGTTTTCTAATTCATAGTTTTCGTTAAAATCCATTTTCAACTTTTCGTGATCAAAGTTTTCGGTTTCTTTTTCTTCGGCTGAAGACGCTCTGAAATGTTTGTTTCTCCATCGAGTAATCACGCGTTCTAGGCTTTCAGTGTTGAACAAATAAGTCATTCCCAATTCTTTCAAAGCCATGTCGATAACAATTTTTGGTCTCAAAGTCGGGTTCAATTTGGCTTTTTCTTTCACCAAACTTCTGAGCGTTCGTAAATCATTGTCTTCTTGATTAGATTCGTGATTGTGTAACGAGAAGAATGACTCAACATTGAGGTTTTCAAGGTCATTTTCGGTTTCGACTCTAAATCGCGAAAAACAACCCGGCTTCGTGCATCGCCACGAGGTAGCGCCTCCCGCTAGTTCCCGGTGTTGTCGGAACGAGTAGCCGTTGTAGAGTATTTGGGGTTTGCCTCTGGGAGATTTGATAAGTCGGGCTTTCGCGTCAATTTTATTCTCGCTTTTCAGATAGAGTTCAAAGTCCATTTCCGAGTTATTAATTCAATGCAGGCCCGAATGTGAAAATGTTACTTGATACGGTTATTTTAACAGTTTGGTAGGCTTTCAGTTTTCAATTTGTATTTTTGATTATAAAATTTATATTTTGTTTGATCTGTTTGAGTAGGGCCGACTGTTTGACAAATTTGAATAAATGAATGAGTTTTTGCAGATAGTTTTGCAACAGTTATCGTGAAAAACAAATTCTGGAATGACTGGAGCTTAGATCTGGACAAAATAATTCCAATCTATTTTCGAAATTACCCGCCAAATTAAGGGGACTTTAACCAATCTTCAGTCTCATCTTCAGAGGGTCTAATTGCTCTTTCACCTCAATTTAAAGTCGGGCCCGCCAATTAAAGGAAAATTGTTTAGATTCATCATTTTTAAAAAACTTGAAGAGTTTCATTCATCCCATTTCAAAGAAACTTATTCAAAACAAACTAAAACTGTTCAATCGATCGGCAAATTGTCCTAAATAATCAAACTTATTATATAATTCGACAAAAGAATGCATTCGGCAGAAACTGATTCGAGTAATTGATGCTCTTACTGATAATTTAAATTAAGGTCTCCTAATGTGCCGGATGTATTTCCAAAATCCTTTCAGCTCTCCGAAGAGTCACAGACAGTCAAGAGGTTTAGGTTTACTTAATTTTTCATAAACAAATCGATCAGAGCTTAAGATCATCTTGATACATAAAAAAAATGATCAAAAACTGATTCAGAATATAATCTTGACTAAATATAAAAGGCGTGTTGGGAACTTTTTTGTCCAGAGGCGGCTGGGATAACGAAAAATTTTAATCAAAAATGTATGCAAAAGTTAACGACATGAAACTCATAGAACTATTAGAATTAAGCGAAGAAGTTACTTCAGAGTAAAGTGAAATATGACTGCAGATGATAGAGATAATGGAGGGGGGGGGGCTATGATGACTCACTGGTACGAATTCGTCGTTCTCCAGTTTGATGATGTCCCCCACCTTCACCTTCTTCCACTTCACTGACTGTGTCCTAAACAGGGGAGGGGGGCAATATATATAAGAAACCAGTAAAACATGAAAAGCCTGATTGGAGCTCAATATTGCTATCATTGCATCTCGATCTCAAGATCCCTTTTCATGTGTTTCAGGTGTCTTTAAAATACCGGTTGGTAGTTTTAGAAGAAAACATTTCAGTTAGCAGGCATCATGCTAAAGTATTTGTAGTAAAAAAAAGCTGAAGAAGTTTTTTGTTGTTAATTTTAGCCCGAAGAAGAACAAGTTTCCAGATAACCCATCAATATACGGGTTTTTTTTCTATTGATTCTTAGTTTCTATATTTCTATCTCAATTGGATACTTCCTCGTTTTATTTAGTACAGTTCAAAACTGGTCAGATCAAGGTCGTTCTCAAGGTCAACCAAGAACATCAGTTTTGAGTATGCAATGAAGTAATGCACTCACACTCCGCCCTCCACCAAAGTAGTGCTGCGATTGTTCACTTTGGAGTCATTCCTCTTGCGCCTCTGCGAAACGCAAACACATTTCATTCAAATATAACACCGTGGGTTCGAAAGCAGTTTTGGTCAAAAACACCGGGGCAGATTTAGGGTTTAATGATTCCGTAGGGTTCAATGAATGGTCTAAGAGCAGAATGGGTTCAAGAGCAGAAAAACTGAAAAATACTAACTTTTATAAACTAATCGGTAAATTAAGTATAATAATTTTCAATAAAACCAAAGAAACGAATATTTCATGCATATTTTGAGTAATTTAATCGAGATTGAAAATAAAATCCTTAAAAAAACTTGATGGAGTTATTCAATTCATGTATTATTTATTCATTTTCTTGGTATATTGACGATATTCTAATAATAGTTTTATCAATTTATCATAAGTATAAGTCAATAAAAATTCAATCTTTTTCTTGTTTTTCTGTTTTTGGACCAATTCTGCTCTTAGACCATTCTGCTTATTGCTCCGCCTCTGGCAGAGTCATACCCAGGTTTATCGCTGCCAAACGTAAGATTTTAGCCTTAAGTTGACTCCATTAGGGCGCATAGGGCGCAATTCTGGGGCAGATTTAGGGTTCTAATATTCCATTAAACCGGCTTCAATCAATTGTTGCTAAGTTGAAGGAGAAGTGTAAGTCAAAAAGCGCAATTTTATGATCAAACGTTCAAAAAAAGGCCCAACCGCCCAACAACTTCATTTTGGGCCACTTAAAAAAGCGCAGAAATTGAGCCTGGTGATCTTGTAGAAAACATGGAAAATCAATTTTGTCGATCTAGAAAAAGGCCGACGAAATTTTCAATTTTCAAAGTCTGTCGCCTTCGCGGTCGCAAGAAATAGCCTTCATCCGATCCTTGGTCACTGTAACGTAGTTTTCGATAACTATCATTGAACCTTTTCTTGTGGAAAACTCTTCAGATTTTATATTTAGGCCTACCAATACAAAATCGAGAGTAAATAAATCAGCCCAAGTGTAAACCAACCGAAAATGCGCCGAGTATATAAGCCAGCCAACAAGTTACATCATATGAATGAATTTGCATAACGTTCGTAACTGTTACATAATTGCTACATAACTATTATATAACATTTGCGTATTTTCGACTGGTTGATACTTCGGCTGGTTTATACACTACCACAAAAACATGACAAAAAGCGGACTAACTATGTCATCGATGGCGTCCTTGACAGCAGTGACGGCCAACACCACCACCAGCGGCACAATTGTGGTCACAGCAGAGATGGAGGACAAGTTGATTGGCAGCAGCTGAAACAGGACTACTCTATAACCACAATGGGTTTCAAAAACCCTTTTCAAAATTAGAATTGTTTCCGAAAAAGGTTTCAAAATATGAATGGTTAACCAGGCAAGTTAAAAAGTTCTTAGTTCTAGATCTTGATGGAAACCTAGGAAAAGATATCGTACTCAGAATCATCGAAGGGTAATGCTTTTAATGGGAGAATGGGGGGAGGGGGTTGAATGGGGGTTGAAACTGAAAAATCAGTCCGATAAAAATGAAAAAATGAGTGTTATATTTGTTACCTGCATAATGAGAAGAATAAGGAAGTAGACATTTGCCACTCGTTTGAACTGTTCAAACAGGTTGATGGGCAGAAACGTGAATGCATTGTACTTGGTCGTCTTGATCACGTTCCGCTGAACAAATAATATTAATTCATCAAAACTTTTTTTTTCAGTTTCAAAGATTGAAAAATTATCAGGCTATTATTTTTAATTCACGAAGAAAGTTTTGAATCGAATAGAAAATTTGATGAAAAATTATATTTAAAATCCTATCTCAAAACTATAATAAAAATGACAACGAGAATTCGTGAAAATGACTTACTGCAAATTTTTTCCGTTTGTTTGCGTCTATGTCATTAATGTATAGAGTTCGATTCTCCTCCGTTTCCTCTGCAACAAATAAAGAAAATTGGATAAAAAATACTCAATAAGGCTATTATAAATTGCGCCGAAACCTCTGATTTGACACCTCTGGCTTGAAAGATTAATCAAAACCACTAAAGATATGAGATCCGGTTGCTGGGCAAAAAGCACAGAATATTCCGACAACAAGGATTTTTCAAGGGCTGGTTATCAGTTTAAGCCGTGAGACGACAATTATTCGAATGCGACCTTTGGTCAAAAACGACAATTCGCAATTTTCAAATAAGCGACTCTCACACCAGACGAATATTCCGACAATTCTAATTACTAGATTGAGCAGCAGACAGTTATTCATGCACATTAACCTAAACCTCTCGTGCCGAGTGCTTGGGTCGCTAAGTGCCAATACCTTGAAAATGTGGAGGAGCTTTTTATTTGGAATTGTTTTAGTTTTTTCTCTTTTTTTTATTTCCACGCAAAATGAAGAAACAAAAACAATAACTAAGTAGGGGTTGAGAAATGTATCATACAAGACCTTGGAATCGTGATTCGAACGACATAAAAAAATTCAAAAACAGCCCCAGTGTTGAGAAAAACTGGTTTGAAATTTTGATTTTATTGTAGAAAAACAAATTGAAGTTTCTCTTTTACTATAGAAAAACAATAATTGTGCAAAAAGTTGGAAAGGAATTTCTTTTTTAATTTTTTAATGTTTTTAATTTTTTTTCTACACTTTTTTGTTTGTTAATCATTTTTAAAGACAAATGCTGTTGATCATGCCTAATTCACTATTTTTCTACGCGATTGTATAGTCCTCGAATCACACCACCAACTAAAAACAACACTACATAGCAGAGTTTCTCATTTACTATCAACATTACTTTACTTTAAATAGGCTTGGTAGAGCTTGTTTTTACCAATTCAACATCCTTCCAAAGCTGTTCAGAGTAAAAGGAAGTTAAGTTGCTTCTGATTTCGATTTTTTAGCCAATCAGAATATGATTTTTACATACAGCGCTTAATAAATTTAAATCACATTGAAGTCTGGGGTGCAGGATCTTAACTTGGTCTGTTGGGGAGATGAGGACGTTAATTTCATCTGTTTGTTAATTCAACTCAAACTCTTTGACAATAGCTTTTTATTAATGATAATGCTGATTGATTTTTGTGTGGGAAGCTATACCTTGACCAAAACACAAAGATGAGTCATAAAAAATCATAAATAGATAGTAATTGATTGCAGACTAGAAACAGAGAACACGTGGTGGCGTTTAATACCACTCGATGAGAGCACTAAACTAAATAAAATTTTGACCTGCTGTTTTTAGTGAGCGCACTTATATTTTATGGGAGGCCTCAGAAAATCAGTTGAGTCAACAATTAAAAAAATTCAAGTACACTGGAAATAAGGTGTGGCCAAAAAAGTTTGATTTTATGATTACCCGCAACATATAAGGACTGGTTATCAGTTTAAGCCGTGAGGGGACAGCTAGTTGAAAAGACTCTCGATCAAAAACGACAATTTGCAGCTTTCAATTGAGCAACCGGCTATGCTTGTTTATTTTTTGTTACAGCTTAAGATTTTCAAAAAATAACAATAGTTGTGCAAATTTGCTTTGTTTTTTGTGTTCAATTTTTTTAAAATTTTTTTTATAATTTGTTATTCGTTTTTTGAAGACAAATAAGGTTAACTATGCTTTTTCTGGCGCTTCTCCTGCAAAAAAATTTTCAAATTTATCTGAAACTTTCCGTCCAAAAAACATTTTACATGTAGCACTTAGTTAGCAAATTTAATTTATATTAAACGCTGTGATGGAGGAACTTAACTTGGTCTGTTTGGGGAGGGGGGGGGGGTTATTAAGTCGGCAAAATTTTTCAGACCTTTAGATTTGAAAAATTTTAGATCCATCCCTGGTATACGCACAGGTAATCAGTTTCGAAATGTGAAAACGATCAGAATATTTTTTGCCAATACGCGATTTTTTTTCAAATTTTCAGCCGAAAATGAAAAAAGTTATGACATATGCACCGAGCGCCCATGAAGCATAACCGACTGTATTATCATTATATGGTCAGTATATATGAAGTTACAGATTATTCTATTCTAATCCATTAAAAAAGGGTTTTAATCATAATATTTTTTTATCAATCTAATCGATTGTAATTGATTATAATCAATTAAGTATGGTTTATAATCCTAATGTTTTCTAGGTCAATCAAATCCATTATAATCGATTATATTGGATTTTGATGGATTTGATCGAGACAATATTTATGAAAATATTTATGAAATTTATAACTATTTTTTCTAAATTATCTCATTTCCTGTTTATTGCAGTTACAACGTAATACGTTTCATAAATTGTTATATTTCCCATTAGAATGTATATTTTCTAGTCTCTTTCTTCAATTCAGTTTTACTGGGGTTATCCGTGAACGGGGAGATTATTCATTGGTAGAAATGAGGGGAGTTAAACTGTAAAATGGGGGAGGGGGCAGTGGTTGGTAAACTTTTAGTAAACATGGGGAAAAACATGGCGTACATGGCAGAAAAGAGATGGAATTGAGTAAAAAATATGTTATATATTTTGCAATTTTTTTTGCAAAATTTGCAAAATTTTGGCCAAAATAAATGAATTTGGTTCTAAAAAGAGAATGAATTATAATTATTTATAAAGGATTCTAATGGATTTTTTATTAATTATAATGGATTATATTGGAATATTTTTCAAAAATGATTGATTATAATGCCAATATAATCGATTTCGTGGACTAAAATTTACATCTGTAATGGATTATAATGGATTTTTATTGACTTAAAAATCCATTATAGTCTATTAGAATGCATGGGCGCTGGGTGCGGGTACTCACTATTTCGCCACCAAGGTTTCATTTCAGTCACAACTGGCGTGTAATAAAATACTGTCTGAGGTGGCAATTAAGAGCAAGGAAAGTTGATTCAGTAGTCCACTTTTGATTTAAGAGAAGACTGTGCTGGTCGGGAAAGCCGGTGGATAAAACAAAGCATTCAAGGGTAGAATAGGCGGGAGAAGTTAGAAGAAGGCGTTAATTGAAACAACTTGGCATTCTATACTGACCAACAAAGAAGAAAAAGACGGACTTTAAAAAGAACTGTAGAAAATTGTATTCTGAAGAGTAAAAAAGGAAAAAGTAAAAATAGACGGAACGCGAGAAATTTAAGTGGAAACTAAAAAAAATGCCTAACTTAGGCTTTAAAACGTTGCTAATAAATATTAGCTCCAAATTACCGTTTTGAATAGTACCAAAATAGGTGATTTATTTGAACTCAAAAAGAGTCAATATAAACAAAAATAAGGATGTAAAAGTGACGAATTAGGAAGGAAAAACACTACAAATTGCCGGTAAATGATCAATTTTTCAGCGAAAAAGTACCAATTAAAATTGTGCTTAACGTCCCCAAAATTTCGCTCTAAATTTCGCCCAAAATTTTGTAATAGTTGAACCCTGTGTTACATGGATAAGACGAACAACTGTGTTTCAAGATGGTGACTCCTAGTAGCAAACACCATGAAACAAAAAGACCAAACCGCAAACAGATATAGTTTAGATTTGCAGAAACTTTTGGGTAATCATCGAGAAGTTAAATGTAATTTTGAAGCAGGTCTACTGTTGCCCCAAACACATCATGTGCATGTATTAATATTGCTTATATCAAGATAAATAAATATTGATTCGTGATGGTAATGTAGGTAAATGGCTAAATAATGTGTTCATGCCATTTGGTTTGATTTCACATCATCGATTTAATTTTTATGGGTGGTTTTATTTCAGCAGTGATTAAGTGAAACGACAACAAACAAACTGTTTAAAATGTATGGCTATCTCCATGCTGTATTTTGGTGTGCTGGCTTAAACGGTTGGGTGATTCTTGGAACTCAATGAGGGGATGAGGGTAGAAAATACAGGTGAATTAGTGTACCATTGGCTATCATAAAAATGCTGATCACAAAACAATCAATTCTCCAGATTGCTCAGTCGAGTATGGCGCATGTTTAAGATGCGGAACGAAGTATGCTGAGTGTCATATTCAATACTGCCACCGTCTTCAAAGGAATCTTAATTTTAGCTAAAATAACAGATTACAAGACAGGGCAGATATCAAGCCCGGTAGTTTTTGATTTTTAAACTCACAAAATTGATTATTTATTCGAAAAATTTTTAGAATTTGATAATTGAAATATCCATTGAAATAAACAGGACTGATTATAGACAATATAAGCCATAGAAGTAAGACTGACACAGATCTGCTGTAGAGCAAAGTCTAGGTTTATCATGGTACGGTTCGGTGATATATAATGGCAGTCAAATTAGATATCAGTCAGTTGGGTTCTGTAGGACTTTAAAACAGTCCAACTTGATGATACGGAGAAAAATAAATCAAAAGTTGCAAAACCAGACTATCAGAAAATATAGCGAGCAGAAGGTAAAGCATTTCATTTCAAGTACAAAAATTGGAACCATGCAAAATGAAAGCATGAAACAATTGGCACTTTAAATAAAGCAATTAATCAAATGCATATCCTAATTTCGGATATTTCTTATTGCCTGGAGTACAATTTCAGAACCCATATAAAACTTTGAACTCAAATATCATAACTATCGCATTCCGTTACAAATATGTGCGTTTTATGAAGGTCAACTACCAATACAAGCTGATTGTTGAGCTTATTTGGATGTTTTTGCAGAAAAAATGTAGCGTTTTGGTTTGATGAGCCAAATTAAGAGAGCTCATAAAATGAATTTTATCGACCGAAACAAAAGCGCGATTAAGTGATTTATTTACACCCTCAAAGAGAAGATATCCTAAATCAACTATTGGATTAAGGATAAAATGAATGTAGTGAATGCCCGGGTTGAGGTTTTCGATTTATGTTTCGATTTTCTTGACCAAAATTGGGCATTTTCCGACTTTGTGCTCGACTTAAAATTGCTTCTCGACCGCGGAATTCCAGTCGCAAAACTGCACTTGCTCGACTTTCAAAGTCGAAACATAATTTGGCTCTTTTTGAGGCCCCCTTTCAAAATACCGAGTTTTTTGTTTGCTTTAGGTATTATTACGGCTAAATGCGTGATGTTACGCTGTAAGGTATGAAGAACAAATCTGTTCATAGTTGTCGATTTGTTCACCACGCCAAATTTCATTGCATTATGACAAGGTTAAATAAGCTTTTCAAAATTGAATTTGAAAGGGGGCGGACTGGTAAAGAGCCCATATTTCGAGCACTTCCACCCGGGAGGTTCACGAATCAGCTGCTGAAAAACTTGCCAGGACTGGTCGAAAACTCCTCGTAAATTTCCTCAATTGCTTCCTCAAAGTGAATAAACACACTCGTTTTCCACGAGAGAACTTGTCCCCACTGCTCCCCCCTCTCGTTATCCGACTCCCAGTAATCGTTGATAGACATAACAAGAATAAGAGGTGCTAACTACTGCTGGTTAAACAGATTACTATTGTAACGTGCCAACTGCAACAATTTAAACCAAGCTGTTCTCGTGGAAAATCGGAAAATCCGCCTAATTAGTTGAAACCAGATAAACTCAAAAAAGAAAAATTATCAAAATCTGTACCGTTCGTTTTGTACAATTAATCTTAACTCCATGTTATTAACAGCTCTACTTTATTACAGAGAAGACTAACTCTTCAAATGTTCCATAAAAGAACTTTGTGATCGGTCAGTCGAGGCGCGTTGTAGTAAAACATATTTGTTCGGTCAAACAACAATGAAGCATAAACTTTTATTCTCAAAATTATGTCACAGATTAAACCAAGCAAGATTTATTTGCCCACTTGGCGAGGAAACCAAAGAGGAGTTCATGTTTTGACACATTTTCAAGTTGCTCGAGCAAGTTTAAGGCTACATTGTAAAAGAAATACGAAATTAGGGAAGAACTATTATTTGAGCTTCTTTGGATCCTAGATACGCAACTCAAGGGCAAACGGCTGAAAAGCCAAAATGACACGACACAGAAACTACCCAAAGCGCTTTGTGCTAACCCTAGTTGAGCTCCGACTTATGCTTATCGATAAAAAATGCTAACCCAATCTAAGTAACATTTTCGTGGATTTTTCATAGCTATTTCATAGCTAAACTTTGATAAAAATTTGCGCTAAATTAGTGATAAGAAATCGCTGATTTATCGCTAAAAAATATTTAAATTTGGTACAAATTGTGGCTAACATTCTGATATAAAATCATCTTATCCACCATAAATAAACACATAATTGAAAACAGTTTTTCGTTTTTGAATTTTTAAAGATATTTTGATTATAAAAAAAGTTGTTACGTGTCTTCTTTTAACTAAAGACGGCCAATTCAGAAATAAATTAGTTAAAAAAACTATCTGTTTCTTTTTGGTTCGCTCCTATCAAAATAGATTCTGTGGACGTACAGCTTCCGAATGATATCAATTGATAGTAGCAGGGACAACAGGTAAGATGGCGTCAAATGAAGACGTGGAACGCAAAAAAAAATAATTCAAAATTTTTTCTTGGTTAATTCAATAGATTCTCAGGGTTGTGTAAAATTTCAGAAAACAAATGTTTATTTGCAGCAAGAAATTTCTTTTTTATCGATAAAAAATTGATAATTTTTCCAGCGCTAAGTTAGCAATAATCCATCGATAAAGTTTGCTATTGTGGCACTGAACATCAAAAAGTCATCAGTGGCGATCACTGTTTTATCACTTTTTTATTGCTTATTTCCAATGCGAACTTAATCCGAGTAAACAGACAATTTCTAGGGTTTATTTAAGCTCCAAAATTTTTAAGGTTTCGGAAACAATCTTTGCATACATCGCCAGACAAACGTGAACACCGAAAACTTGATAAAAAGCGAAGCAAAAAATCATGAGACTGCTCGTGGTGACCAAAACAGCACTGCGTCTGCTTATGATACAAAGAAATGCTTAAAACAATTTGTGACGTGTTGAAAAAGCTAATTCGATACTTGAATTAAGAGAATAGATAAATAGGCAACTGATTTAAGTAAGATCAAACGAGACAATGTTTTAGGTGAAATCCGAAGGTGACACACAATCCGAAGGCCAATCACCTGCTATTGAAAAGAAATGAAGCGATTGACAAAAGGAACTATCATGAACAAAATAGACTTAGATAACTGATTTAGTACTATGGCATACCCTCATGTAAAATAAATAAATAAACTGCACTGGTCATGGTTTGGATGAAGTGAAGTACTCAAGAGGAAGTTTTTAAACATAAAGCTTAGTTTGGACCTGCCGAATCCAGGTAGCGTAAGTCGCTGAGTCTTAAGGCATCATTGAGAGCATGCTAAGCTTTTGTTCACTGCTAAAGATTTAACGTACTCTGATTGTTCCTTTTACTCATCTTCTTTTTCTTTAACGACTCCTCGTGTTATGTGGTCAATCATGCACCTGCCCATCTTCGTCACCGCCGTTCTTTTCCTGCTTGATTTTCTAGATGCCGTGTCACTTTCCGAGTCTTGGCTCGAGTAGAGACCAGTCGTTGCTTCGCCGTCTGCTTTTTCTTCCCGCCCGCCGCCGGCATTGCTTTCGGAGCTTCCTCCGGTATGTCGCCTTCGTTGTCGTTCCGTTTTTCCGTTTCCGTCGTTTTACTCGCTCTTCCGGTCGCTGACGTGCTTGTCCCCTCATTCTGCTCCACCTCCGGGTTCTCTATCATCATTCGCTCGCTCGCTCCGTTTCGTGCATCGCTCCTCGAGTTCATTCGTTCGGTGGATTCTTCTGTCGGCTCTACTTGTATTTCCGGCAACGATGCCAGTGGCAGTTTTCCGCCAATCCGTCTTGTAGCCAACGGCTGGCTGTCGCTCTCAGACTCCGCCCACTTTACTGATTTTCCCAAATTTCGCTTTTTCGTCTCCGCGATCGCAACTTTCTTTCTTAAATCCGCTGGCGTGGGTGGCTTAGGGATCCCTGCCGTTCGCTTTGTCGGCGTAGAGGCCTTCCGCACAGCAACCCCGGATTTGCTAAGCAAGGTACCATGATTCATTTTAAGTGTGTGTGTACTTTTGGCGACAATTTTAGTATTCAATTTCCTGTACCTGCTCAAATTTCGGTCCCCAGTGCGCTGATTTACTGTGCGAGATGGTCCCGTTTCATCGCCCCTTGTCCTTGAAAGGATGTAGCCGTTGGCTCATCTGTCTGACTTATGGCCTGCCTCTGGGTTAATATCAATGGGTAATTGCGCCTTGCATCTCCCCCGTACTCATTATCAGAACTTATGCCCCAATGAGTGTCCGCCGGCTTCGGCATTTTCCTGGCTTCCGCATCTTGCTCCTCTAAACATGCAGACTTAGATTTTAGAACATTCAACTAATTCAAGTTCCTCAGAGATGGTTTTTTAGTTAGATTTGGGAGTACGGTATTGGCCTCCCTGCTCCCTGCCGTGGTGTGTTTCGAATGGCGTTATTTTCAGTGTTGCATTTGGTGAAAATCTTAGTGCTCCCAGCGCTCGCTCCACCATTTTCTCTAATGGTTCCGGGTTTTTCTTTCGCGCGTACGTTAAGATAGAGTTTTTTAAGCTTACGATGGTTCTCTCTACGCAACCGGTGGCGCGGTGATCATTTATCGGTGGCTGAATAATTTCAATGCCTTCGGCATTACAAAAGGATTTAACATTATGTAACATAAAATTCGTTCTTTGGTCAACATGTATCCTAATTGGCACCCCGTGGTTATTCATAAGTTATTTGAGAATTTTTAGAATTTATCAGAGCGATTTGTGTTGCAAACCATAGCGGAAGGCCATCTCGAAAATCTATCCACTGCTACTATCACGTATTTTTTCGACTCCGGTAAATAATTGATAAGCCTCCAAACATCTAGTTGAATCGCATCATTCGGCTCTTTAGGTTCTGGTATCTTGCCTAGATTTA